GGGACACCCCCCCTCTCGTATCCCTGTGGCACCCACATCGGGACCCCCAGGAAGCAAGGAGAGGACCCAGGTGTCAGGGAGGGGACCCAGGTGTTCAGGGAGTGAACCCCAGCATTTGGGGGGGGACAGAGCATTTTTGGGGGACCCAGGCATCCAGGGGGGACCCCAGCATTTTGGGGGGACACCCAGGCATCCGACCCACCTTCGGGGTCCCCTCTCTCCCTCGCCGTGGGGCTCCTCCCCCTCCCCCTGCATGTCGGGGACGGCGGCCACCAGGTCCTTCAGGAAATCAAATTGCTGCTCCAGCTCGATGCACTGCTTCCTGGGGAGGGGGAAAAGGGGCGGGGCCTCAACAGACCACGCCCATCTGCCACACCCACCCATAAACCCCGCCCCTCACTCATAAGCCCCACCCCTTGCTCCTAAGCCCCGCCCCTCGCACCGATTTCTTCCATAAGTTTTGGGGGAAAAGTGGGGAAACTGAGGCAGGGAGTGTAAAAGGGACCTGGGCATTTGGGGGGGACCCTTTCCCACCCCCAAAGGGCACCCAGGTGTTTGGGGGGACCCTCCCCACCCCCAAAGGGCACCCAGGTGTTTGGGGGGATCCTTACCCCGCCCCCAAAGGGCACCCAGGTGTTTGGGGGGGCCCTTCCCCACCCCCAAAGGGGACCCAGGTGTTTGGGGGGGCCCTTCCCCACCCCCAAAGAGCACCCACGTGTTTGGGGGGACCCTTCCCCACCCCCAAAGGGCACCCAGATGTTTGGGGGACCCTTCCCACCCCCAAAGGGGAACCACATGTTTGGGGGGACCCTTCCCCATCCCCAAAGGGCACCCACGAGTTTGGGGGGATCCTTACCCCCCTCCAAAGGGTACCCACGTGTTTGGGGGACCCTCCCCACCCCCAAAGGGCACCCAGGCATCTGGGGGGACCCTCCCCACCCCCAAAAGGGCACCCACGTGTTTGGGGGGACCCTCCCCATCCCCAAAGGGCACCCACATGTTTGGGGGGACCCTTCCCCACCCCCAAAGGGGACCCAGGCCCCCAGGGGAGCTTCCCCCACTCCCACAATGGGGACCCAGGTGTTGGGGGGACCCTTTTGCACCCCCCACCTCCTCCCACCCCCCCAAAAAAGGGGACCCAGGCATCTGGGGGGACCCTTCCCCACCCCCACAGGGCACCCAGGTGTTTGGGGGGCCCCTCCCCACCCCCAAAGGGCACCCACGTGTTTGGGGGGACCCTTCCCCACCCCCACAGGGCACCCAGGGGTTTGGGAGGGAGGGACCTTGAGGGGGACAGGGGGACACCCCAGAGGGACCCAGGGGGATCCAGGGGTTTGGAGAGGAGGGACCCTGAGGGGTCCCAGGTGTCTGGGGTGGGGGGGGACCCCAAAGGGACCCAGGGGTTTGGGAGGGAGGGACCTTGAGGGGGACAGGGGGACACCCCAGAGGGACCCAGGGGGATCCAGGGGTTTGGAGAGGAGGGACCCTGAGGGGTCCCAGGTGTCTGGGGTGGGGGGGGACCCCAAAGGGACCCAGGGGTTTGGGAGGGAGGGACCTTGAGGGGGACAGGGGGACACCCCAGAGGGACCCAGGGGGATCCAGGGGTTTGGAGAGGAGGGACCCTGAGGGGTCCCAGGTGTCTGGGGTGGGGGGGGACCCCAAAGGGACCCAGGGGTTTGGGAGGGAGGGACCTTGAGGGGGACAGGGGGACACCCCAGAGGGACCCAGGGGGATCCAGGGGTTTGGAGAGGAGGGACCCTGAGGGGTCCCAGGTGTCTGGGGTGGGGGGGGACCCCAAAGGGACCCAGGGGTTTGGGAGGGAGGGACCTTGAGGGGGACAGGGGGACACCCCAGAGGGACCCAGGGGGATCCAGGGGTTTGGAGAGGAGGGACCCTGAGGGGTCCCAGGTGTCTGGGGTGGGGGGGGACCCCAAAGGGACCCAGGGGTTTGGGAGGGAGGGACCTTGAGGGGGACAGGGGGACACCCCAGAGGGACCCAGGGGGATCCAGGGGTTTGGAGAGGAGGGACCCTGAGGGGTCCCAGGTGTCTGGGGTGGGGGGGGACCCCAAAGGGACCCAGGGGTTTGGGAGGGAGGGACCTTGAGGGGGACAGGGGGACACCCCAGAGGGACCCAGGGGGATCCAGGGGTTTGGAGAGGAGGGACCCTGAGGGGTCCCAGGTGTCTGGGGTGGGGGGGGACCCCAAAGGGACCCAGGGGTTTGGGAGGGAGGGACCTTGAGGGGGACAGGGGGACACCCCAGAGGGACCCAGGGGGATCCAGGGGTTTGGAGAGGAGGGACCCTGAGGGGTCCCAGGTGTCTGGGGTGGGGGGGGACCCCAAAGGGACCCAGGGGTTTGGGAGGGAGGGACCTTGAGGGGGACAGGGGGACACCCCAGAGGGACCCAGGGGGATCCAGGGGTTTGGAGAGGAGGGACCCTGAGGGGTCCCAGGTGTCTGGGGTGGGGGGGGACCCCAAAGGGACCCAGGGGTTTGGGAGGGAGGGACCTTGAGGGGGACAGGGGGACACCCCAGAGGGACCCAGGGGGATCCAGGGGTTTGGAGAGGAGGGACCCTGAGGGGTCCCAGGTGTCTGGGGTGGGGGGGGACCCCAAAGGGACCCAGGGGTTTGGGAGGGAGGGACCTTGAGGGGGACAGGGGGACACCCCAGAGGGACCCAGGGGGATCCAGGGGTTTGGAGAGGAGGGACCCTGAGGGGTCCCAGGTGTCTGGGGTGGGGGGGGACCCCAAAGGGACCCAGGGGTTTGGGAGGGAGGGACCTTGAGGGGGACAGGGGGACACCCCAGAGGGACCCAGGGGGATCCAGGGGTTTGGAGAGGAGGGACCCTGAGGGGTCCCAGGTGTCTGGGGTGGGGGGGGACCCCAAAGGGACCCAGGGGTTTGGGAGGGAGGGACCTTGAGGGGGACAGGGGGACACCCCAGAGGGACCCAGGGGGATCCAGGGGTTTGGAGAGGAGGGACCCTGAGGGGTCCCAGGTGTCTGGGGTGGGGGGGGACCCCAAAGGGACCCAGGGGTTTGGGAGGGAGGGACCTTGAGGGGGACAGGGGGACACCCCAGAGGGCCCCGGGTGTTTGGGGTGGGGGGGACCCCAAAGGGACCCAGGAGGATCCAGGGGACTTGGGGGGATAAGGACACCCCAGAGGGACCCAGGAGTTTGGAAGGGAGGGACCTTGAGGGGTCCCAGGTGTCTGGGGTGGGGGGGGACCCCAAAAGGACCCAGGGGACTGGGGGGACCCAAGGGGACCCAGGGGTTTGGGAGGGAGGGACCTTGAGGGGGACAGGGGGACACCCCAGAGGGACCCGGGTGTCTGGGGTTGGGGGGACCCCAAAAGGACCCAGGGGACTGGGGGGGGA